CCCCAATTCTCTCATTCTTTCCTCGTAGGAGAGGTGTTGCATTTCCCTAATCAGCTTCCTGGCAACATCACTAGGCTCTGGCAGTGTGTAACAGAGACAGTCTGTATCAGCTCTGACTAATGTTCACTGAGGTGCAACACAGTTAAGGCCTCAACTCGAAGGCCTTAACATGAATTACCTGATCTAGTTCAGTTGGAATGTACTGGATGGCACCACAGGACGAGGCCACTTTGAGAAGGCTGCAGTACACTGTGTACCTCACAGGAGTGTTCTTGTCCATGCCATGGAAGAGGTTGCTCAGGCTACACCGCAGACAAGGAAAAACGGAGTTAAAGAGGTTTCAAAAAACATCACTGCAGTGCAGGCAAATGGTCCCATTAAGATACATGCTAGTACAGACAAAGCACACCTGGCTGCACCTTACGATCCTGATGAATTGTAACAGCTTCCAGTTTTGTAATTGTTTTCAGCCAAGAAGCTGAAAAACATGCATTTTAATTTTCTAATACCCAAGGGGAAAAACCTATCTATTGGTACTTCTATTTTATGATAAAGAAGGTAAAAAGAGAGTGCTTCCTGCAACAGAGAGACAGACACCCCACACTTTGATTTAAAGATATACAAGATAATCCTTCCTCTTTAGAGGCACAATTGCTTTGCAAGGGGCCATTGTCCCACTTTCCTCTGTACAATACTTACAGCTGCAGTCTAAGAGATGGGCGCTCTCCTTCCCGAAATTTTACTAACTTCTCACACAGGTTTTCAATCAGTGCCTCTTGTTTGTCAGGTTCCAGGATAAGAAGCAAAGAGACTACACTGTTCATCACACTCTCAACATCTGCATAAAACAAAACAGAGAGCTGCTGAAAACTGCAAGCAACAGTTTTATCATCAGTAGCTACCTACTGCTGGAGAGTTACTTCTGCTATGAATGATGATTTTCCAACAGCAAGAACTGTAAAAGAGAGAAAATGCCAAGATAACCAACCTGGATATTCATTAGAATGTACCAGAGACTTGGCTCAAGTGGTCTTAGACCAACACATCTCCATGTAAGAATTACCACTCTAAGGTCAACACCGAACGTGGTATTTGATATCAGGCTTGCTCTGAATTCTGTTTACACATAAGAGAAATCAGAGGAGCTTCAGGTTTTGGTCTTAAAAACAGTGGCTTCCTCCTGCACATCCAGAAAACTGCCCAGAGTTCTACAGTGAAAATACTAACACCTAGTGCTCAACTACAGTAAAACATTCCACCAGCAGAAGGGATTCCCAGACCACAGGGAAAATGCCCACAGGAAGAATGAAGCATATTCAAAATCCTCCCTGGCTCCTGTTTTAAGTGTAGTGTTCCATCCTTCCCAAACAGAGCCAGACAGGTCTTGTGTTTCCTTTTCAGTCTGCCCAAATATCAGTCATAGAAAGGATAAGAACAAAATTCATTACACGTGGAATATACTTATTCCCCAAAATATCTGAGCATCAAAAAGCAGAGCAATAAGCTGCTCCAGTATTTCCTACTCATTTGCCTACAGTAAAAAGCAACATAAAAAATAACCTCAAGTTGTCCTTCTTAGATGAACCAAGCATTCTTTCAAACAACACATATTATTCATACTAGCAGTTGATTTTTCACATGTAAAAGTTTTAGATGGAATTTGCATATTGGTACAGAGCACAGCAGGCACAGGAAGATCACTGAAGGCCACTGCAGCATTATCAGTGTTATTAAAAAATATTAGCAGTTTCTAAGGATCTACAGCCCTAACTCAAAGAGTTACTGACTACTGAAAATCACCGTGCTTCAGACAATAATAATCATTTCATGTTTAGGACTTAAACTTTCTATTTACAGATATCCAGGCCTAATTTTTGTTGTTACTTTAATTTTTCCTGATCTGCAGCATCACAGCCACTATTTGACAGTGAGTCTTACTTTTATAATACTTTTTCTTTTCCAGAGAGAAAACCCTGTTTTACATAAACCTTGCTATGCCCTCAGGCGTACAAGGCACAGTCGAGCTCCATTTCTGACTTTCTTCAAAGGGCTCTGGATGTTTGGAGAAGGGAGGGGCAGCGAGTACATGCAAATTTTCCATGGCAACGATGGAAATGAGCAGTTCCAGTTTCATGAAGGTATATGGCTTGTGTATTAACACGTGCTACACACTTCTAAACTCTGCCAGCTCTTACTGTTTGACAGCATTAGTGGTGATGTTCAGCAAAACCAACAAGACTCAAAGGGGCAAACCTTTGTCATCCTCTTTCAGGCACACATCACACACTTCAATGATCTGTGCCAAGTCCACATGGAGTCCACCTTCAGCGTTTTCTTCAGAGATTTCTGCTCCTTTGGATTTCAGGTAAGCTCGCAGTTCTGCAGCCTTAAAAAAAAAGGAAGACAGTACAAAACAAAACAGTTGTTTTGTGAACAGCAAGGTCGAAGTAACTAAATTTCATACAGATTTTTGTTCTGCAACCAATCCTCTGCCCCCAGCACTCACTCACACTTCCTCTTACTGCTCCCTGCCACCCTGTACCCTACAACACTCCCTTTCCTTCACTTTAGGGTAGAACCCACAGACCAATTTGGTGGAAGATTGTAGCACTTGCTAGAGCTGGTTTGTCAGTGACTGAATAGGTCACACAACTGTTGGACTTTCTTATAGTGTGAAGGTGTCACTTACAACTGGTTCCTGCACAGCAGACCTAGTAAGTTTTTGTGACAAAGATGCTTTCTTACGAATTTTTATTACCTTTTACTCCCTCTGAAAACTTTAAACAGTAAAACCCCTTAGTTGCTTCTTCAGAAATGGGAGGTATAAACCAGAAAAAGGGTATAAATTTTAGAGAGATCAGAACTTACAGTCTTCACACAACTTTAAAGACAGCTTCCAATTTATCACAGAACGGTTTGTGTTGGAAAGGGCCTCAAAGATCATCTTGTTCCAACCTCGCTGCCATGGACAGGGAACCTTCCAATAGACCAGGTTGCTCAGAGCCCCCTCCAACCTGGTCTTAAAATGCTACAACCTGCCTTACACTGTTAGGATTTAAACCTGCACTAAGAAAACACCTTTTCCTCAGCGACATGCCTTTGCATTAGCTTCACAATCCACAGTTTCAGCAGCAAAACCATAACCCTTAAAAAAAAACAGTTTGTTTTGTGTGAGGCCACGCAACGTTTGGCACAGGGCACCTCTGACCAGGATGCTGCTGTGATGACCACAAGTGTCATTTACATCCAGTTCAAAGCCAAACCATTACAGAACCATCAGATACAGCTAAATTAATGCTCTGGGACCCTTTGCTGCACCGAGGATGTTTCAAATCAACGACTTGATAGAGCTGTACCATTATGAGGAGAGGCTGAGGGAGCTGGGGCTGTTCAGCCTGGAGAAGAGGAGGCTCAGGGGAGACCCCATCACTCTCTGCAACTCCCTGACAGGAGGTTGTAGCCAGGTGGGGGTTGGTCTCTTTTCCCAGGCAACGATCAGCAAGACAAGAGAGCATGGTCTCAAGTTGTGCCAGGGGAGGTTTAGGTTAGATATTAGAAAGAATTTCTTTACAGAGAGGCTGGTCAGACATTGGAATGGGCTGCCCAGGGAAGTGGTGGATTCTCCGTCCCTGGAGATTTTTAAAAAGAGACTGGACGTGGCACTTAGTGCCATAGTCTAGTAACTGCAGCGGGGTTGGATCAAGGGTTGGACTTGATGATCTCGGAGGTCCCTTCCAACCCAGCTGATTCTACGATTCTATGAAAAGTGGATGAAGGCTGTGTGTGCATTTCTTGCAGACGTCCAGCTGTGTGTATATGCACCACCTCAAAGACACTGGCATCAACAAACCCGAAACTCCAAGGTCACAACAAAGAAGCAGCCCAAAGACGAAACTCCCAGTTCCCACGCCCGTAGCACCGAGAATCCCGCAAAACCAAGGCGCGCAAGTAACGCCCATATGCGAACCGTCTTATCCTAAATAAAAAGAAGCGGTGGGAGGGCTGAAAACAACATGATGAGCACTGAAGAGGGAGCAGCAAACACAGCAATTACGTTCAGTGTCTCTAAATCGCCCGTTTGATCTCGGTGGGGAAGAGCCCGGAGGAGCCCACGGACTGCCCGCGGCCCCGGCGGGGCAGCTCCCGCCGCCGCCGCCTCCCCCCGGCCCGGCGCGGCCCCCCCGGCCCGGCCCAGCCTCTGCCGCGGTGCGGGCGCTGACCTGATCCTCCTCGGTGATGTCGATGAAGGCCGGGACGCTCATGGCTCCGAGCACGCCGCGCTCCGGAAAGGCGGATCGGCTTCCGCCGCCGCGCCCGCCCGGCTCCCCTTCCGCTTCCCGCTGCCGGCGGGCGGGGCCGCCATTCCACCGCCCTCCCAGCGCCCTCCCACAGCCCGGCCCTGCGTCTGCTCCTGCCCCGTGCCCGGGCGGAGTCTGCGGCCCAGCCGCGGCACCCGCTGCCCCCCTTCCCTCGTTAACAGTTTAAGTGCGTTCCTAGTGATTTTTCCTGGGACGGGATGAATAACAAGACTTCGTTTAGGCGTGTCGGGAGCGAAAGGCGGTCGGACCAGATGCCAGTCCCCTGATCGTTACTTTGCCTCAGCCCCTGAGCTCGCACTTGCAGTTAAAAAGTGGCGAGCCGCCGCTCGGTGTTGCCAGTGTGTCCCACGTGTGTTCTCCCTAAAGAAATTTCCCGTTCGGCTCAGGAAGGACCCCCACGAACATAGGTTGACTTTCCCCGTGTTGCAAAGGCTAAAATGAAAACAAAGAAAATTGTAAAATCGCTGAGGTCGGATCCAAGATCACCATGACCAAGCAGTGACCCAGCACTGCCGTGTTTACCTCTGAACCGTGTCCCCAGGCGCCACATGCAGGTGTTTTTTGGACACTTCCAGTGATGGTGACTCCACCACTTCCCATTCCGGTACCTGGCCACCCTTTCAGTGAAGAAGTGTTTCATAATATCCAATCTAAACCTGCCCTGGTGCAACCTGAGGCTGTTTCCTCTTGTCCTGCCCCCTGTTACCTGGGAGAAGAGGCAGATATCCGCCTCACTGCCACCTCCTTCCAGGTTGTTGGTCGCACCTCTCAGTGCCTTCCTGGTGTTGCCTCCGTTTAGCAAAGAGAGACTGCTCTGCTGTCAATGAAACACTCAGCCCCAGTTTTACCAGTGAGATTTGAGATTTAAATATGGAAACACAACTAAAAAGGGGCCTTAAGCACAATACTGGGTGTTCTCAGTGGTTTGTATTTAGAAATTCAGAGACTCATCGAGTATCAATGACAGCCTTGGAGTTTTCAGAGGGATTTGCCAATATATTGGAAGGTAACTAAAAAGAACTAGCAACTGATAATGAACACGAGGTATCTATTTAAAAGGATTCCACTGCAGACAGTTGCTGTGCTTGAAAAGTATTTTTGTTGTCCTGGAAATTCCCTATGAAAATCTTCATCCCAGTGGTTGGTGGGCGGGAGTTCCACCCCTTCTGCAAAAGCTGAAAAGAATTAATTCTGCTGTGGAGTTGACGGACAATTTGTAGGGATATAAAATCCCTACTCTGAGGGATATAAAAGCCACACTGAGGTTTGGGGGAATATGCAAAGGACAGCCTTTGCATCTCTTGACTCTGTACTCTGACCTTTTCATGTTTGTATCAACGCTGACACGCAGAGTGTGATTCTATCCATAGCCTGTCTTTTTTTTGGATCCTCACACATTTGGGGGAATGTTTCTAATACTGGTTTTGTATAAAATATGTAGAAGATACTGAAAGCACTAGCAGTTTCAACCTTTTATCAATAAAGGCTGAATTAATTTTTAGTCCCATCACCTTATTATCATTATATCCACCATAGTTTGCAGAGATAAAAGTGTCTTTTAAAAGCTTCTTACGTTTCCTAAGTTAGTAAGACTGCTGTGCACAAACCTCTTTTTTTTTTAAATATAAACCTGACCAAATAATGACTAAACTTCTTTATTGAGTCTAATACCAGAGCAGGGGTAATGCCTGCTTCTGAGTTTCTACAGCACTGAGCACACTGAACCTTATAAAGGCCCACACTGCCTTTATTAAATGTCATGGCTCAAATTAGTTTTGATCATCTATGTGGTTGTGTGACTTTTGAATAATAGTTCAACTTTTAATTTTTCTGTCATCCAAATCCTGCCTAATTAATTTATTCTACTTTGGGCAGTATTTTAAAAATATTATCCTTACTGTAACTGATTAATTATCTTTACTAAGAGTGGTTTAAAACAGAATATTTTAATACTGTCTGATTGATAGACTTACAAGTATTTTGTATTTCACAGGTCAGCATTCTGGAAGTTACAGATAGATGTAGAGATAGGTCTCATCTTTATCTGATGTGGAAGGGGATCTGATTTTCAGAGAATGAGAGCTTGAGCATTTCTAAAGCGCAGGTGACTTTCATCTAGTACTGCTTAACATGGTCCTGTGAGAATAAAGGTGATTCGGGATCCAGCACCCTAGGAGGGAGAGAGATACATAGTACAATTTATTTGTACACATCTGTAGGAGACATTTCAGGTGCCGAAGTACATTCCTAATGCCAGTTTACATTCTGGAATATGCCTACATGCCTTCAAGCTGCCATGAATCTCCTATAGATCCCATACTGTGTCTGAGATTCCTCTGCAGATGCCTCAGACACGCCAGGGCATATAAATGTCCCAAGTCACACGGGGACCTCCCAGCCCCAGTGTCTCTTTTGTGTTTAGGTAGTGCACCCAGGCGGAGGTTTGTCATGTATTATTCTGAATGTACAAACATAAAATAACCATTGATCACACTGGGTAGACAGGACATGACTCTAAAGAGCTCTGCTGAAATATCCACATATGGTCTGTTGCATGATACTTTATTTGTCCCAGAAGAATTAAGATGATAGATGATAGCTGGGGTTTGAACTTGTGCATCAGGAAGGCCACTTTGAATATAAAGGGGGCAGTATGTGTTTTGTGAAACTACCGATGGAAAGAGGATGTAGTGGGGGAATGGGTTTCAGTTTTATTGGAATTATGACATTTCTGTGGAAACGAGGCAGTTGTTTATAGTCCTGTCTGCAGCTCGTGAAGCCAGTTCTGGAACGGGGCGTGGATGGGGTTAAAGCGCTGCCGAGGGAGCCAGAGGTCCCTGTGGAGGCTGCCGGGACCGGTGCTCCCAGTGCTCCCGGGATGGGGAGCCCCGGGGCAGGCAGGTCTGCAGGGAGGGGCGGGAGCGGCACCTCGGGGACACCCCGGAGCAGGAACCCAAAGGAGGTCACCACAACTGGCTAATGTGTGTTTGTCTGTGTGTGTCTGTAAACACATGGAGAAAGTCTTAAAACCCAGGCAAAAGATGAATTTTGGCTGGCACCCACCGTAAATTGTTTGGTTTCCTTTCTGTAGGCAAACCACAGAGAGAGATGGAGCCTAAAGAAGTGATATTCCGCCCTGCGTGCTTTGAACGTGGTGACTGAAGAAAACAAAGTCCTTCAGGTGACACGTCTTTAAAAGCATTTTTAATGGAGGCTCTTTGAAATCAGCAGACAGCTTTTGAAAAGAAAGGGTTGAAGGCTGACTCAAGAAACTGAGCCTCTTTTGTTAAAAGCATCGATGAAACAGATCTCCAGCACAGAAAAGAAATGCAGGCTTTATGATGGCATAATTTTTCCTCTTCGGATTTTTTTTTTTTCCTTACAGTTTTCTCTCTGTAGGCAGAGCTGAGAGCTGAGTTGTCTCTCTGGGAAGCTGTGTAAGGATAAGTGGAATTGCAGCCCCCTTTCCTCAGCGCAGTCCGTTTTGTGCTGAGTGCCCTCTGGAGGTCTTGGGCACGCAGTGACCCGGACGAATCCCGGGTACCGCGACTGTGCCTGGGCTCTTCATGCCTCCTTCCTTCAAAGGTTGTCCCTCTCTTTTTTCCTCCTTTGGGAGAGTTGTTCTAGCCAACCTAGACGGGGTGGGGGGAGCACGGTTAAGTCAGCTATTAGTTAAAGTCAGAATTATGGCCTATGAGTTACTCAGAAAAGGTAAAAAATAATTCAAAACTTTGTCCAAATTCCCACTCAGCCAAACTAAATCTGTTTCGTATTTAGGAGCTTTGATTAGCTTTATCAATGCATGGAAATGTGCTTCTTACTTATGTTTCTGGTTTTTTCCTAGATCTCTCTGGGACTAAAGGGAAACTGCTAAAATACCCTTTGAGCCTCTTCTTGCAAGACATATCAGAGATCTCAGGGGAAGGTTGTTGTCCTTCTTCTTCCAGCCAAGTTCCATAGTCAGAGGAACTCTGGATAACTTCTGTAAGTATAGTAACTTTTGGAGTTTTATCTGATTTTCTTGTAATTTGTAAATTCTCTACTTTTGTCCACTTACTCCACTTCCCCTAACTGTAGAGTTAAAAAAAACTCCTGCACTCATCCTGACCAACATGCTCTCTTCATTCAAAATATGTAGTAAAATTTCTGAGTTGAAGAAGCAAACTTCAATATTGCACTATTATTAATAATATTGGGTTCTGACATGGAGTTTTGCCTTTGAAAAGTATTTAGCAATATATTTTTTTTCGACTCTTGATGCACTTATTTTGCTGCTAGTGTAGCAGGTGTTTTTCTTAACCATTTTTAAGGAGAAATCCTAAGTTTAGAGGAAATGAGCACTCAATTATTTAAATTTCCTGAGATTAGAGGAAGAACACTTTGCCAAACAATGCCTCTTCACTTCAAAACCTCTCCCCATAAATTATGTTAGGAGATCTTATTAAAAGTCTGTAAAAATTTCCTATTAAAAATGGTTGATTGCAGTCCAGACCATCACAGCTTTTGTGCTTGCAGTGAAATACCACAGCTGTCGCAAAGAAATATATGTGAGACAAAAGGTTTTGTTTCCTTAGTCATAAATTATTTTTGTGATATCTGAGGTAAGATAAAACTTTCACTTACGTTTGAGTGAAGGAAGATTCCAGTGATAACTTGTTCAAAAATCTATAAAAAGAATATAAGAATGTAGATCTAGATAGCAAATTAGAATCAGACTTCCTTTTTGTTTAAGGAAAGCAATTATTTCTGAAGTCAGTGAAGATTATAACCAGGGATAATGGCATAACTTTGCAAAGCACAGTGCCTTTATCTCAGTAGAACCTGAAGTTTAAACTTTCAAGTCTGACCTTTGAGAACTATACAATAGAAACCTCTAGTGTTGGACAGTTTTTAAACAAAAGTTAAAAAATAGTAAGTACTCTCTTTACTGATTATACTATGTTATATTATATTATGCTATACACGTTATATTATATTACAATAAACCAAAAATTAGACTTTTTTATATTTTAAAAGAGTATCAAACAAATTGGTTTTGACCATACTTGTTTTTCTATCCGCAAATGAGTTTTCTGCTAAGGGATTCTGCAGAAACAGCAGCCTTTTAGAGAGGGAAGGGTTCAATGTACACTGAATAGACTGTGAAGTGTTTGCTGTCAGGACTGGATTCCAACTATGTTCATCCAGTCAAAGAGTAGAAGCATATTCCAGGTATGACCTGTGTATGTCATGAAAATGTGAAGTTACAGCATATATGCTAAAGATTATTTTTCAAAATAATTTGCCAAATAATTTTGAATGAAAGATAAGTTAGGGCATTCACTATTTGCTCATCCATCATTTCTTTATGCATAAAGGTCAAATTTCTCAGCCTCCTCCCCTGTTAGAGAGATTACTGAATAAAGAAACATAGTACAGGTGCTAGAGTTTGAGAGATATTTTAGGTTATTTGTGGAAAAAATCCATGTTCTTTTTCTAACTATCAACAGCATTTATAACTAAGCCAGTTCTCTTTACCCGGTGCCATCACAAGAGTTTACTGGAATTTGGTTTTTTGCATATTTAAGTCAGGAGTGTACCAAACAAAAACACGGGATGGCCTTCTCTTCTGCTGTGTAATTTAGAGAAATGGATATGCAGCCATGATCCCTTAATAGCCCCCTATTTTTTTCCCCTCTGAGTGACTTTTCTCATAAATTAAAATTCATCTTCATAGTGCTTTTTTATGGCAACATGTGCTCTGCATTCTTCAGGTCAAGCTTACTCAGACTGAAAGACCTATGAAGATCAGTATCTTTAGCATAAGGTCTAAAGCAAAATAATCAGCACTTGGGAATTATTTCCCTTGTGAGGATGAGGAAATATATTTCACATCCCGTGTACCTGGGGCAGGGACGAGGTGAGTCAGGTTTTTGGGAGACCAGTGGAGATGAAGTGCCTCAGGCACACAATTCCATACTGGTCCAGCCATTTCCAAAGGGTGTGTGGAGCACCTGGGGGTCAGGGAGGAGAACCAAAAACCTCTGTAGTCATCTGTACCCCATTAGGGTCTAGTTCTGTGTTCTCACTCATGCTGAATGGTCTTTTACAAGTAATCCCACTGATGTCAGCGAGACTTTTCTGTAATAAAATGCTGTCTGACAAGAATATAGATATCAGAATCTGGCCCTCTGTGTACTAATTCCATTTTAATGAATACTTAAATGGAGTTATTATTAAAAAAGTCTATTTCCTAATATTCAATAAATCAAAACTATAAAATCAGTTTACCGGTTGTTGCCACTCTAGTCAAAGCCAGTTTCTCTCATATTGAAAATAATAGTACATACTGTCTCCATTCAGGAGGGATTAATTGTAATGCTTTTATCTGCTTCATAAGATTTATTTCTAATAATGAAGAGCAGAGAAAAGTAGGGGTGCTTTAAACATTTATTGTTTTTATTAAAGCGCCATATATTCATGAGATGTTTCATAAACATGGAATTTGAGCTTAACGTGAGAAGCCTGTTTCATGAATGAGCAACTTCAAAACAGAATTTTTAAAAAACATTATTAATTTCTCTGATCATATCCCTTTGTAAGATGGAGCCTTGGGCACTATGTGATAATGCTGAGATACACATTAGAAGCCTGCTAAGATTCTGTAGGCCTGTCATCTGATGAAGATTGTTAGAGCAGTATTGTGACGTATTGCTGCTGGGGGAACTACCTGACATCAGTCCCCACTGTTGTGAAACACGGTGGGACTATATGGAAAAATATTTTGGATTTGAGGTGGTTTCTCCCTGCTTGTAGAAGAAGCCAGATCTGCTTAACTTCCATGGTGACATTCACACCAAGGAGTAGGAAATTTGCTTATGGTGCTGTTTGACTTCGTTGCACAGTAACAAAATACAAATAAAAAGCAGCAAAGGGAGGGCAAAAAGAGAAACTGAATTCTCTTTAGTCAAAGATAAATCTGCCATTGTATTGAGAGCCTGGCAGAAAAATTCTAGCAGAGTATTATTTCCTTGGAATTTGCTAAATCTTCGAAATCCGAATGTTTCACAAGGGTGGGGGATTGTTCAGCTCCCTCAAGACGTTCTTCTAGGCAACAGGCAAGTTTTCTGATTTTATGCCTTTACACATGCCAGGTTTCCAGAGTCTCTAGCTTTGATGCAGTCCACTAGACACCCTGATGTGGGGCCAAGGATGCCAACTCCTCCATTGCTCTGCAGCAGCCTACCAAGTTGCTTTTACAAATTATGCATTTTCTCCAACCATAAATATTGCTCCTAAAAGGGATACTGAAATGAAGATAATATGACTTTTCTGTAATAGGTCTTCTAATGTCAGCCATTCTGTTTAAACTGTTCAATTTTCAACAGAATTAAAGATCTACACAGTATATTCTACCTCCTGCAGACTGTAGTTGTTAAAAGAAAATAAATCACTTAAACAGGGTCATGAGCAACAAAGGCCAATGTGGGTTCAAAGTTTACAGGTCTCTGCATTTATCAGGTAGAAATATGCTACATTTCACTATTTCATAAAATATCCTTTTATGAAAAAGCCATCAATCTTTGTATGGCCTACTAAAACTGATTTCTCAAATGAAAGAAATGAATGATGACACCAAATCAAAAAATCGTTTATGAGTTTATATTTTTGCAAGACCACCATGACTTTCACATACGTTTTCAATTTTGGGAAGGATGTGATTATCATGTGGATATGTTTTACTCCCACCATTTGTACTAAGGGATCTGTCAGAACTGTGTACCCTTCCCTGGGCAGTTCAGGATTTGTTCAGATTTTTTCATTAATCTGTAGTGGTTTTTATCCAGTGATTGTTATCATTTCTGTACGTTGTCTACAGATTTTCTGGGCTATACATAGATATGTATAAAATCACGTCTATCATATGCAAGTTCACATTTAAACTAAAACTGCATCTCAATGACTTAATTATTTCTCAAAGGTTTTTAGCATTTTTGTGGAACGATTTTTGTGTGATTTCTGTCACACACTCTACAAAATATCATATTAAAAACATCGTACTTATTACAGATTTTTCATTATCCTTCTGGTCTCTCCTTACCATTGCCAGGCTTCCTCTGGGAGTCACCAAACTCCTTGACCAAAACTGGACAATTTAAGACACTTGAAAACAGTATTGTGTATTTATGCTTCAGATATTGTAGAACTGCTGGGTTTGGGGCAGGAATAATATAAAAACCTACTTTATTTCTCATCTGATAATGACAACCAATACAACAAGCAGCCTGCTGCGCTGGAATAGGGAAAAGTGATTTCTGTTCTGGTAAATGGTGTGGTCTCTCCTTGGGTTTGCACAGAGAAAATGAGCTTGGCCTTTCTGGGTCTCCAGTGAAAACAGAGACAAACGAATTAATACAATTTATTAAGTATCAGTCTCATAAGAAGAAGATTGTATGGGGAAGTGGATCTGAACTTCTGAGAAAGAAATTCGTGCTTGGGTTTTTAAGGGGAGCATTTTGCTCCATTTGCTGAGGAGTTCATTTTGGAAAAAACGTGTCATTCTTGCACAGGTTTTTTTTAGGAATTTTACTTTTTTTTAAGCTTATTTAGGAATTATCTTTCTTATCTATTTTTGATTCGGTGATGAAAATGCGAAGTTAAGGAATGTTCTGTGCTTCCTTTCTAACTGAGAAGTTAGACTTTTAGTCAAATAATGCATCATATATTATCCCTATCAACCTCCTCTAGTCCCTCCTAGGGGGAAAAAAAAAAAAAGACAAAAGCATTAAAAGAATGGAGTTTAGTTGTAAATAATGGAATTTAGTTGTAATTAATGTAATTCTTTTGGGAAGAACCTTTTGCCAAGTCACACACGGAGTGTTTGATGCGGAGTCAGCACTGTCAGGACACAAACCTTGCTGCACCATGGCTGGCACTGCTCTCCTGCAGCCTTATGGTGGTGACAGGGTCTCACAGAGTCATTTCACAGCCTGCTGTGAAATACA